AAAAGAACTAAAGGTGACTAAAAATATAAACATGTTTCCCATACCCTAATCCAAAAATTGGTATTTTAAAGCAAAATTTCACTATTTCGTTTTTTCGTTGGGTTAACTTTGTAGTAGTTCATTAATTATATATACATATATATATATATGTTTTATTTTATTTCCGTATGTATAATATTGTATTGCGATTATATTCCTGTATGTATAATATTGTATTGAGATTATATTGTACGTTGATAATAAAATTATTTTTACATTAAAAACAGTTTTTCCCACCATAATGGACGCCATCTTGGAATTTGTCATGATGACGTAATCATTCCGATTAAATTTTTTAATGAGAGTGGTGAGTAACTATTTAGCCAAGTTGTTGTTACATTTCATATCCACAGAATATGTAAAAGTGACCAAAAACATAAATTTATTTCCCCTACCCCCATCCTAAATAGTTTAAAATAGGGTATTTTAGGTCAAAATTTTAAAGTGCTGTAAAAATAATTGCCCAAGCTAGCCCTAGGCATTTTTTTCTGAGACACTATAGGGTATGCTGATTTAAAAAAAAAAAATAATTTTCCTTTACTTTTTTCCCGCTAAAGTTCATTTCAGCAGTTTTACAACCAGGCTATTTCTGCACCAAAACCATTCGTATTTTCGGTTTTCGGATGTCCTTATTTTTCATTAAAAAATCGCCCATAGAATTTTCAAAGTTCCCAGAAGAACCTCTCAATTTTCATATATTTCCATAAGCGCCCCTTTTGAATAAGCGCCCCTAAAAACGGCCAAAAAATATTTTAAGCGCTCGGGCGCTTATATTCGCGCGAGTACGGTATACATAGATTCCGGAAGTTACCATAAGCTATATATAACTATTGAGTAATGAACCATTTCAGTGACATACTCTCATTACTATAACTTAGTAATACTTAATAAAACTGAGTGGTCCAACGTATCGAATGCTTTTTTGAACTGTGTTACCAGTCCTCAAAGGCGTTTAGTCACGATGTATAAATATAATGTCCGGGCCTGAATCCTGGTTAATTTATATCCAACAGATTAGTTTAGAACAAACATACAAAATTAACTGTTCAAATATGATCCCTCTCTGGGGTGGATGCAGGGGGGGGGGTCCAGACGGTACGTTTGCACCACCTAAATTGTATTAAGAAAAAGAATTGTTGTATTGTATTTTTGTAATGATGAGAGTGCAATATTCAGGGCACCTAGGGCCCGTTTATACAACATGCTTTAACACTGCTTAGCAGCGATGTGTGAATAGGAATAAAGATTCAAACACCTGGCAAAACGGCTACTTCAAAAAATCCCCAAATTTGGTGGACAGGTATTCATACTGGGTAATACTAAAGTGCGAGGCAGCGAGGCATGCAAGGCAGCGAGGCATAATGACGATTCATGCGAGGCATCGATTTACCATTCACGAAAAGTGCGAGGCATGATTTAACGCGCTACCTGGCATTCCCCAAAAGTGCGAGCCATATATTTTAACATATCTACGAGGCTACAACAAACATAACTATTAAAAATAATTAAATGATGAGAAATAGTAGAACAAAAATCAACCCTAGGCCTAGGTGGCCTACCTGTCTATAACAATAACCAATTTGATAACCAAATATGTAAGCTAGCGCCCTCTATTCATTAGCTGACGCGCGTACTTTATCCATGAGGCAAATAGTGTGATGTGACGCAGTT